GATGGCCAGTTCGGTGGTATCTCACGATTTTCCGTCGGTAGATCCTCTGACGGTACTTCTTCTGTGAATGTTCTGACACGATGGATCGAGCCAATGTGTGTTTCGAGATTTGTCCAGAAGGTTATCAGCAGTTTGATGCTTTGGCTGAACTGGATGACGTTTAGCAATGCCACTCCAACGTACCCTGCGCTGATTGAGCCCCTCAGCACCACAACAAGCACAATTAGCAAAACTGCAATGCCTGCGACTACCATATCCAGGCTGAGTGTAAGCCAGCGTTGGATGGCGTATAGAAGGTAGAAAGGTCTTTGGGAACGATCCAGCAGCACATCATTCTTCTCCTGCAAGGCCTGTTGCCACCCAAAAGCCCTCAGGGTTACCAGACCACTAAGACAATCGGTAAAATGAGAGAAAAGTGGCGCCTTCTCTTCCAGATCTAGCAGCCGTAGTTGTCGAGATGTCCGGAGATACATCTTTTGTATGAGATAGACGATGAGAATCACTAGTGGGAATGAGATAGCGGCGTATTTCGAAGCAACCGCTATCAAGATCATCTGAGCTATGCAGAGAGCGAGAGCTAGTAAGAACCAAGAGTAAGCGACCATGCTAAGGAGCTCAAATTTTTATTCAGCCTTGAAACCTACTCGCAAATGTGTTGATAGCAGCAATGGGAAGTTCCATGTCGATGAGCTGCAAATCCTGACTGAACCTGTTGAGGATAGCACCGCTATCGGTTTTGGAGAAGAACAACATCGGAGCACTATTTATGAGTTAGTGTACATTCCTCACATTCGATGTGGGACATACCTGAGCACTGTAGTCAAGAGCTCACGGTGGAAGACCTCTCCAGATTTTGGCACCATAGTAATCACCATTTGCCTAAAACAGAGTTAGCTAGAATAATGACCAGGGCTGTTATTGGATTGGGTCACTGACCAACAACCAACCATGAGGCAGATCATGCCTATAACGCCGAGCATAGCATATATCCCGAGATAATATCCTGTGTGCTTGCCAGGTTCCGCCTCATTCGAACTGGCCCACCAATTCACCCAGATGCCTGCGTCAAAGTCAGTTAACAACTTTATCATTGGAGAAATTTTGATAGCTCGTACTTGGAAAAGATATGCAGAATACAAAGCTCGCTATAGCCACGATAAAGATAATGGTAGGAATCCAACCAATAGCCTTAACGTAGTATAGGTAGATTGACAAATCCCCGCCTTTTCCTTGAGTTTCTGTATCGACACCGGGCTCGGTCTCAGTATCTGCAATCTTCGGCTTTTCTATCGTTTTGATTTGAACATCTGATGCGGGGAACAAATCTGCTCTGTAACCCCACTCGGGGAGACCAAGAGCAAAACTGGAAACATAACCACCAATTGCGTCAAGGGCCTTGAAGCTTCCTTGCTCTATAACGCGTCCGCTTTTGTCGAGTACGACAATATGGTCGGCATAAGGAGCGCGTTTCACTATTTGATCAATTAGTGATATTAAACAAATGCAGGATCGTGAAAGAGCTGTGACTTACCTGAAGAAGACGCGAATATGATTGTTGAATCTATCGAACGCAGGAGACCATGTTTCCCAATCAAGTGGTGGAAGATATGGTCTTCGGTTGTGGCATCCAAGCTGCTGAACACGTCATCTAGAATAATAACAGTTTTGCGAGCATAGACCGCTCTGGCTAGTGCCTACTTATATTAGTACAAGTCGATCTGCAGGCATGAATGCAGCCTGGGCACCTACAATGCGTTGACTTTGACCACCACTAAGAGCAACACCTTTGCTCCCGATCACCGTCTGATCACCCCGTGGTAACTGTTCAAAATCCTCAGTCAAAGCACAGGCGTATATAACTGAGTTATACCACTGGCTATCAAAGGCAGACATGGCGACAATGCAATCACGGATGGTTCCGTTCATGTGCCAAGGAGTCTGCTCGCAGAAGCTAAGACTATCCAAGGAAAGTTGGATGTTCCCATGGAGGCAAGGCACTTCTCCAAGAAAGGCTTTGAGTAGTGTAGACTTTCCGCAACCAGAGGGACCGATCAGTAGAGTGAGTCCACCTTGCGGAATCGACATCGTCAAATTCTTCAGCAACGGCTCCTTAGTCGTGTCCCATCCAAAAGCGCCATTTTGGATAGTAACAACATCTTGAACCGAAGAAGGAAGACTCTCCTTTGACGACGGGAAAGAGGTTGATCTTGACTCAGTCATGCTAACCTCTGTATCTTTGATAAGAGCCAATTGGGACTTTTCGTCAAGCGGATAGGATGAAAGACCGGTCGACTTGTCTCTCGGATCGATGTGCTCCTTTTGTTCGAGGAATTCCTGGATTCTCTTGAACGACCCAACTGATCCAGCGAAATTCATTAGAGCCATAACGAGAGACAGCAGAGGGTCTGACAATAGCGAAAACAGAGACAATGATGTGTAGACAACGGAGGTCGTCAAAGCAGCATCATTTCCTCGATCGTGAGAAATTCCGACGAAAGCCCCGAAGGCAAAAATAGGCGCAAAAATGCGCGTCAGCCAAGCTAAAAGCCTATCGTCAGATCATTCAATTCATAATGGAGGCTGTAAGCTTACCAAGGGCCATATTCCAGACCAGAAGCTTCCGGAATTTCCTGGAGATGCTCAACTCGTCAAGACGTAGATTATGAACACTGGTAAGAAGCGCTGATTGAAGACCGAGCATCTTGATACCTTTCATAGAACCAAGCATAGAAGATGTTGATGAGATGCGCTTCTCAATAGCCTCGAGCCACCTAGCTTGTCTTGACATAACGAAAGACATTGCTATAAGCGAACCGACTAACGCCACTTCAAGAGGGAGAAGAAAATGTTAGGTCCTATGAGTTCCAAGGAGACAGAAAAGGGCAGCCTTACCAATAGCGACACCAACAGGGACGACGCAAGATAAGCCCAATTGTCTTTCGAGGAGGTAGATGGCCAGACCGATCTCGAGGGCGTTACCCCATATATCATGCATAGTCTGCCAACCTTGCACAATTCTCTCAATGTCTGCGCTCATCAATGTGACAGAGGAAGCAGGATCCGCGTCTTTGGTACTCAAGGTGCACGCTTTTTCATAGATCATAGAAACAACTGCGCCTCTGACCATTGTGATGGATCGATATGTTAGATGCTGATATTGGCCCATGGTCACCTAACATCATGCCGTGTCAGAGACAGAAGATGAGAAGACAGGCCGAGCTTACTTACTCCTAGCCCAATATAAACGAGTATATAAGCGCCAATTAAACCATATCCAATGTTGTCCGTGCTCTTGTTTACAGGCTGCTCGGAGAATGATAGAGACCTTTCTAGTAACAGAGGTTGGCAAATATTAAGGGCAGCCAGCATGACTCTTGGCGGAATCACAGCTAGGATTGGCCATTTGAACGCCTTCAAGCAGGCGAACAACAGCGAGGTTTCACCGTTTTCCTTATCTGCCAAATGTCAACGCCTGCGAACTTCGACTCCTCCAGCGATTCATAGAGGATCTTACCCTTTGCAACCACACCCTTCAAGACACGGTGCAGTCTCTTGGATTCCAACTGTTTGTCGAGAGCAAACAAATCGTCAACACCAAGGACCTTGGAAAATCCGCGGCGGAACAGAGAATTCAGCCACCAGAAGAAGGACCTGTTGTAGATGCCCGCGAGGGCTTCGGGTGGGTAGTTTTCATACTCAAGCTTGAGGATGTATCGCTTCTCCGTGGCTTCGAGGAGGAGCAGGAGAATCTTGAGCCCAGCACCCACGGAAGTAAGAATCGCAATAACTTGATTGATATCCTCAGGATGTCGCAGCCAGAGCGTTCGCGTCTTCGCTATGTCAAAAAGCAAAGTCGCGCCAAGGTAAACGTTGAGAAGAAAAGATGGTCTGACAGAGAAATTGTGTTCTGCATAAGAGAAAACACAGAGTAGAAGGATCCCCACCGTCGTTACAGCGTTCGCAGCAATTGAGGCATCCGTTCGCGTCGCAGATGGAAGGGCCCATAGAACCGTCAGGGCTAAATTTAATATGCTTAATGCGATCCATGACACCTGTGAGAGATGTATGAGGTACAATGGTCAGCAACAGGATCGTGGGGTGAGTTCAGAAGTCACGGGTTCAGCCAATTCAGGCAGAGTCGCACCTGCCTATTAAAGTAGGTTGACAGATGCGCTCGTTTTGGCAAGAGGCAGCCTCCCAGAAGAAAATGGTACGTACTGTCTTTGCCCATGCAAGCCAAGAAGCTACGACTTTGCGCGGTCTTCCCAATAGATGACCGACTCGAAAGGGTATCAACAACAGAACAACGCCCAAAGGTAATACCCCTAGGATTAACTCCTCAAAGAGCAGCGAGAAATCAAAGCCGCTCCGACAATATGACGGGGGAATATGTATGGTGTTGTCCACCTGCTGGCAAGAGAGGAGTGCCGCCATGACTAGTACCTACACCCGGAATTCCATTTACAACCGCGGAGGTAGGTATCCAGAGTGGGATGTGACAATATGATTTTGGGGCGACAGGGAATCACTGTAGATTGTAAGGTTTTATGTCCAGCGAGTCTTACTGAGGTTGACTTGCAACCTTTTTTTTTGCCTTGCAAAGCCTAGACTACCAGCTCTCCAGGGATGTGCCTTTTTTAGTTTCCTGATCATTGGGAGTACCTAATACTAATCAATTGGGCCTCATGATCAGGGGCAGTGCTAGTCCAGTTGTCCTCGCATACAATGATATAATAAATATGCTATTTCTAATACTGTGTCTCAGTTTTCTCCTTGTATTGTTTTTTGATTTATTTTATTTATTCTTTTTGTTACGCTTAGGTCAAGCGTTTCGATTACTTGATTGGGACTACTTCCCATGTTATTTTATTTATTTATTTTTTCAAAAAAGAAGAAAAAAGAAAGAAAACACTTATTTTATTAATCCATACCACACTCCACCTGTAACGAACTAAGTACTTGCCGATGGCGATTAGCTACGTTGCAGAGTCCCCAGGGCGCTCGGGTGGTGATCCACCTTGGGCTCTGCACCAGCGCATCCATGGATGGTTAAGGAAAGCGAGCTTTTTGAGCAAGATGATTCGGCCCGTTCCACTCATTTCCTGCTTGAATGCATGTTTGCTTTTCCCCCGGTCCCCTTCGCAGCATTGCTTTTCTTGCCCCGGGCAAACGTTACAGGCTATCAATTCTCCTTGCCCTCGCATGTAACGTAACGATGACTTTTCTGCTCATGGGACCACGACCAGCCAACACGAGTTCGGTTCGAGCCTACATAGGCCATCGGGCTGATGAGAGGCGCTCCTCAGGTTCACCAGGTACACGAAAAATCAAGCCCCGTTCGTAGTTCGCCCCCACTGTTTTCGATGCTAATAGCCCCATCCGTCCGAAGACTGACTGAGCCCGCTGGCCAAGCTCGCTAAGGTGATGGTGTACCTTCCCGGTCATTGTTCTCAGGCCATTGTTCCATCCGTCAGACGTGGGCAGAAAAGCCACGAGCGGACTGAATCAAAAATAGGAAGTTCAGTACTAGGATCCAGTAGTATTTACCTGCCTCAAAGCAAGCCAGTCTACTGAAGGGGCGCTTGAACTAATAGTGAGCGGTCTGGAAGCTCCTTTTAACGCCGACACCGAGTGATAGAAGTAATTCAAATCCCGACTGACACCGAAGGTGATCACTGACCGCTAACCACTTGAGTATTGAATCTTATCCCTCATAAAGCTTCCAACCCAGCTTCCCCCGCAGTGGGATGGTAAACCTGGATATAACCGAGATTGCCAGATAGAGTTTGCCTCGCAAATCCCCCTTCGTGTTGATCCTACCATATCCAAAAAGGACGTAGACGTCATCATCACAGGGCAGTTTTGTGATTCTACCAGGAAAAGCAAGGGGACGGCTGAACTCGACTCCACTCGATGGTAATTCCGACGAGGATTGTCATCGAATCAGGGATATCGCTCCCCTTAACCACATCTCTAGGGACAAGTTCTAGGTGAACTGGGCTCTTATCTACCAGTAGTATGACATTGGGTACATAGGGACGTACCGCAGTCAACTGACTGTTGAGTAACTTGTGTCCAGTCCCACGGGGACAGAAATCTGGTGGCGAAATATCTTTGTCTAATCGGTCAATAAATACGAACATGATCCGGAGGCTACAGGCACTCAGTCAACAAGCTAGTTGCAAGCGAAGTGTAACGTTGTCCCTATCCTTATGTATGTAGAAGCACTCAGCGTAGCAGTGGCTGAGGACCTAAGGTAGGACGGGTGGGATGGTCGCCACAAGCGGGATAGCAATTGAAAGGTGATTCTTTACACCCGGGATCTCGAGCGGCCGGCCTTTGGTACCTGCTTTGTCGATAGGTGTGTGTATGTGTGTGAGTGGGTACAGAAGAGCATACGTCGAAGGTATGGAGGCGCCAAGGAACTAGAACTAGAATGAGAGAGCGGCGCTCAAAAGTTAGGACACCAGTGGATGAGCACTGTTGTAGATGGGCAATCATTCGGCAGAAATTCCTTGCATCTTTGAGAAGGATTTAGTGGCTGAAAGTTGGCTGCATACCCACCATTATGTGCGTTGTTAAGTTGGCTACACACGGCCTCAAGCTTGGATAATCGCTTTCGTTCGTAGCGGAGGTGGAGATGGGATGGATGGTTTTGGCGGTTGGCCACTCCCACTTACAGTATGGTAGAGCCTTTAGTGCTGCGGAAGGCTTCCGGCTGCCGCGACCCGCCTGGCAGCCTAGCAGGACTTGACTTGAGCGTTCCTTAACTACTTTGTAACTAGTTAGTGAGCTAGGCCCTCCCAGACTGACTAACTACGAAGCAGTGACTAGAATGCCTTGGATGCCTGTTGGGCGAGAGACCCCATACCCCATCGGTGCTAGATGGCCATTCCCGTTGTCGCTATCGACCACATCTTAACTCCCGTTGCTAAGTAGCCCCTATCCCCGAATTGTCTAGAGGAAAGCCCACACGACTTGGTCTTTCCTTCCCTCGGCGCAGATCCTGTCATCGATGCGATTATTAGATCATAGGCTGGACTCCAAAGCCTAGACGCCATGCCGGGGCCAACCTCTCAATGCTTACTTTTTTTTTTTTTTTTCTCTAGCCTGCAGTAGTGAACTGTCAACCAAGACATCGACGCATGACACAAAATGCTTTCCCTACTTTCCAATTTTTCTTTCCTTAATGGAAATGATTCCTATGTCACTTACCGTACTCCGCAGATACCCGTTGTATCCATTCTCCCCTCGGCAAAACGGATGTCTCGTATTCCGACAACTTTGCAGAAACCACGGAGCATTGTGCCTGATACAACCTGTCATACGGGATGTTTAAAATTCTAAGGAGTGGTAGTCTCAATGACTCGCGGCAGAATCAATTGAGCGGCAGTATTTTCACGGTTCGAATGGAACATGCTGCATTTTATTCTCCGGAAGCTATGGAAGCTTTTTTTCTGCCCTTTCGCTCCCTGAGCGCGATCGATCGATTTGAATGATACTTCCCGGACTGAGTAAGGATCGACTTTCCGTCCTTACCCGCCGTTCCTGACCCCATCGCCCCGATTTTTCCTTGCTTTTTCCCCTATTGATCGGGGTTGCGCCTGTCAAACCTGGATGACGAAGGATCGGCCTCCGACAAAAAGTAAGAAAAAACAAACGAGGAAAAAGAAAAGATATTCTTACCAGCGGTGATGGTGTGAAAAAATTGTGATATGCAGCTAACCCATATAACAGCTAGTATGCAGTACTAGCGACTCCATCCTCATCTTCCTATGGCCTCAAATATCCGAAGCGCCGAGTTCGTTTCTTTATCCCCCTGCCATCCTTGCATGGTTATTGATTTTTAGCTCGCATAGACTGTCCCGGTGGTGTGTGCTATTTATGCCAGGAAGCTTTTGATCACCCGTTTTGATAATTAAATCGCCGCGACGGCCGGAAACCATCCAGCCCAATGTAGACGGTTTGAGTGGCCAATGATAGAGTTCAAGGTACATGCAAAGTTCCTGGTAAACATTGGCTACCCAATGGCAAATCGTTTTGCCTCCATACAGTATACTAAATTTATGGAACTCAATTTCATCGATCTTCACACCAACAAACCATAAATACGGAGTATATGTAGCGAGGTTTATGCGTGCATAGCGATCCATTCGAGTATATGCACACGTCAAGTAGCCACCTCGGAGGAACGCAAGGGCTGAACTCTCGTGTTCGATGCAGCATTGATGCAATGCCGTTGGTGAGAATCTCGCCATCGCTAGTACGTACTTCCTAGCAACTTCGGAGAAAGCTTGAAATAGCAACTAGCTTCCTACCAAAGAACTCTCCTTTCTCAATTTTCTGTCTGGTTCACTTGTGGGTGTCGAAAGATTCGTCATCCTGCATGAGAAGCTAGATTTCTCTACGTCGGAGTGATCCGTCGGATTTAGATTTGGCATACGAAGAAGTCACTTTATGTTAATAGCTTACTCATGCGCTTCAGATATTTAACTAGCATCGTAGTTATTTCCTTACCTTGTATGTATTTAATATACTGATGTTTATTGGTAGGATGGCACTAGCTCTGCTCCGACGGCCAGGGCTGACCGTCTTTACTACCTAATAGGGGAAACGGTAAACTCCGCTGTTAATAACTTTAATACATTGTTGCCGCCATGACACCCGCTCTATCTGGGTGTACCTGACCCAAAACATCCAATACACTTTGCGGAGTACATGTAAACAGTAAATCGTCAATATACAAAATGAGGGCATTATGTAATTAGTAGCATAAGTCGACTTGGCTTTTCAGGTCAGATCGCGTGTAAGGGAAATACCGAAAAAGGGTACTTATCATGTGAGCCCCTCTTCGCTTCTTCTGTTCTATTTCTTTTTGTCTAATTTTTTATTCCCCTCCGAGTCCGGAGGATTATTCATTTATTTAATTATTTTCCCCCTACCACTCGAACAAGGAATACTAGCCCCTGGTTGTGGGGGGAACGTATACGAGTTTCAGTTGGACATGAGATCCATACTCATAACAAGGCATATTATCGACTAGAGTCGGCTTTAGGGTATGGAGCCGTACAAGCCCCAATTGGATCCGAGTATTGGCTTCCCGATCAGGAACTGGACTTTTGTACCCAGTCAGTAGCAACCACAGCGAGTTCACTGTCCACTCTCCGTGTCCACTCCGCGCCCTCCCCCCCCAGTAGCACCTGGATCTCTTTTCCCTACTCGCCTGCAGTGTCTGAGTTTCGGGCTTTCCTACTCGCTCCTTCCCGTTCCGACAGTTCTCCGACAGCCTTCCGAATATACTTAGTGTTATAGCCGCTACGTGCAATTACCCAGGTAGGTATACCACCTGGTGACTTGGTCCAACGTCGAGACTAAGACAGCTGAGCCCTTTCACTTCGCCGACTTTATTCCTGCAAGACTTCCCACTGGTCAGCATGCAGTCTGTCAGTCCTGTACCGTAGATTCCAGCATGTAGTGGAGCTGGATGCTAATGCAGCGCCTTTCTGACAGACAGAGCTCCTAATCGAATGTTGTTAAGCGTTCGAGACCGACCTCGAAGTTCCGGGATGATTGAGAGCCGACATAATGCACCCAAAGCTGGATACGCCCTCTTTATGCGCCCCGATTTTGAGCACCAACCAACGTCATGCCTTGGCTTGTATTGTATTGTTAAGCGTGTCAAGGCCGGTTTCCTTGATTTGGATTCGGCCTGCCCAGGGTCAAAACAATATTTTTTTTTCTCATTTTCTTTTTGTCTTCTTTGGTCCTTTGCCCCATTGCCTTTCCTGCTGTCTACCCGCCCCTGGTTATACACTACAAAGTGGGCAACCCGAGCCTGATGGTTTCAAGCCATCGGCTTTTGGGTTCAAGCGCCCTGCAGAACTTTGTAAGCCATGGAATCTCTTCCCTGTTGTCTCTTCAGCTTCGCCTAAGCAAGGGCATATGGAGTATACTGTATTAGCGTGGTGGCCAAAATCCACGCCATTCATTGCACTACTTCCCGACCCAGTCATTGGCCGCCGTCATTTTCGTATTTCGATGCTCGTAAGCAATTGCAAATGCTGCTGAGGGAATTCCGCGCCTAGGTCTCTCTATGGATCTATTTTGGGCCGAGAGAATTTTTGGGGGGACCCCATGATAATGGTGGCTCCATGGGGACAGGCTTGATTTCATTTTAAAAGTAGCATATTGTACGGGGGTTGGAGATTTCTAGGATAACCCATCCACTCCCTCCCCTTTCTCCTCTAGGTGTTCCATCCCAAATCCTTAGAGAGAGATACTTTCCGGTACCCCAATCTACATTATGGCCCAACCTGTCTCTTGTTGCTTGCCCAAGTTTGGCACGAGCACTCATGGGCCAAGGCGGCCTGCTTCGTTGAGGATCAGGACGAGTCCTTCCCAGACTCTCCAGTTGCTAGCCGCTTGGGACCAATCCGAGTTAGATTCTTTACTCAAGGCCACTTGGGCCTTGCTTCTTCATCGCTATACTGGCCTAGAGGACATTTGCTTTGGTTACCAACCGATTGGAGTTGATGCCGGTCCCCGCGATACTGTTACTTCTTCCGATACCCATAATAATATTCCCTTAACTTTTAATCTGACCATTACCGAGGACGACTCTGTCCATGCCATTTTGCGCAACACGAAAAAGCAGAACGAAGCTGAGAAATGCGGAAGTTCAAGCTCGAGTTGCCACAGTTATACCCTGTGCAATACCCTTCTAATGCTGCGCAACTGTCGCAGTGTTACGAAAGACCCCAGAGCCCCTCTTGTGCAACCGGCCTTGGCAATTCCCTTGCCCGAAAAGGTGGGTGACTTTCCTCGTTCTTTGGCGTCCTCTCACTTTCCCTTCGCTCCATTTCCCCTTCCCCCCTCCCACCTTCGATCATGTGCGCTTCTATCAGCCCACCGCTGCAGGTGGCCTTGGCCTTTTAGCCCGGACTGGCTGACCTCTCTGTAGTGCCGCGTTAGGCTGCACGTCAAAGTCCTGCAGAAGGATGTCGGTATCTTCTTCGAATGGTGGAACAATGATATGTCCACTGAGCATATGAAGAGCGTCGCCGACTACTTCGAGCAGATACTTTCACGCGTACTCTCGGCAGAAGATACCGCCGCGAGGGACCTGAACCATTTCTCAGATCGAGATTGGTCCAGAGTCTGCAATTTCAACTCTACCATCCCCCAGGCACATGACCGCTGTATACATGAGGTCATTCATGAGCAAGTCCTGGCTCGCCCCGGAAGTGAAGCCGTTTGTGCGTGGGATGGAAGTTTGACCTACCAAGATCTGGATCTCCTGTCATCCCAAGTTGCTTATCACCTTCAAGCACACGGAGTCGGCCCTGAAACATGTGTCGCTCTGTGTTTCAACAAATCAGTAAGTTTAACATCAAAGATCGATATGTCCTTTCGGGCAGGTTGTGTCATCAAGTGACTCTCGGCATTTTCGCTATTCGGGACTGACCGATTCTTATAGAAATGGAATGTAGTGGCAATGCTGGGTGTTCTGAAAGCTGGCGGTGCTTTCGTCCCCCTTGATCCAACACATCCAACCTCTCGTTTACAGTCGCTGGTGCACGCTGTGCAAGCCAAGGTCATGCTTTGCTCCAGAGACCGAATAGGAGAATTGAATGGGGTAGCGGAGATGATAATACCACTGGACCAGGCTATCATAGACGAAATCTCCCTTCAAGCTGAAGAAATCTACTCATTGCCGGATGTACAAGGTCACAATGCAGCCTACGTGATATTCACTTCTGGATCAACAGGAGAACCTAAGGTGCGCTATTCCTCGAAGCTTCCCCCAGATCCACATTAACAGCCCGCGCTTAGGGTACCATGCTAGAGCACAGAGCCTATGTATCCGGAGCCGCTGCCCATGCTGGACCGCACCATATGTTTTCGACTTCGCGCGTCTTGCAGTTTGCGGCACACACGTTTGATGCCAGTCTTGTCGAGATCTTGACTACCTTGTTGCAAGGCGGCTGTGTCTGTATTCCAAGTGAAGAAGAACGCTTGAGTGACATAGTCAAGGTCATCAACGAGATGAACGTAAACCATGCTATTTTGACCCCATCCTTTGTTGAGTTCATTGATTCCTCGCAAGTCCCAGGTCTTGAGACCTTGATTCTTGCTGGAGAGGCGATGTCACAAGGCCAGCTGGAAACATGGTCGTCCGCCCTCCACCTCATCAACGCCTATGGCCCCACAGAAAGCTCTGTCGCTGCCGTTGTTAACGCCAAAGTTACACCATCTTCTGATTGTCGGGATATTGGACTCCCCGTGGGCGTACGTTGCTGGGTTGTAGACCCGAGCAATCATGACCAATTAGTACCCGTGGGTTGTCCGGGTGAATTACTGCTTGAGGGACCGACGCTCGCTCGATGCTATCTCAACAATCCTCAGAAGACAAGTGAAGCGTTCATCCATGATCCAGCCTGGATGAGAAGGGACGGTTTAAATGACTGTAACCGGAGAGTGTACAAGACGGGTGATCTGGTAAGATACAACTCCGACTGTGGCTCACTGACGTATATAGGCAGAAAAGACACGCAGGTGAAGTTTCATGGACAGAGACTTGAGTTGGGCGAGATAGAAAACCAGCTGGCTGCCGACCCAATTGTCAAACACTGTCTAGCTTTTCTTTCGAAGACAGGATTCTCTGCAGGTAAATTGGTGGCGGTCATATCCTTATCTGTTCACTTCGAATCTCAACCGGAATCAAATGCAGCGCCACTCAAGCTCCTCGATACATCGAAGAAGACCTCTATCGTTGCAGAAGTTCGCGAGAGATTATCAGCTAAACTACCAACCTACATGATACCCTCCGTTTGGCTGTGTGTGGAGGCATTGCCGTTGCTTCCGTCTGGGAAGCTGGACAGAAAGGCGACCGCAAGATGGATTGGAGATATGGAGCGAGACCCGTATGCTCAAGCTATAAGCGCCAGGACTTTGTCTGCGGATAAAGCCACACTTCCCTCGAGTGCCACGGAGGACAAACTCGCTGCGATCTGGAGCCGGGTTCTCAATATCCCCCGAAGCCAACTTGCCCTTGACGAAGGCTTTTTGAGTCTAGGTGGAGACTCTATTGCCGCCATAACGTGCCTCGGGTATTGCAAGAAGCAAGGAATGGGCTTGACGGTACAAGAGGTGCTTCATAGCAAGTCAATCAAGGAGCTGGCTACTCGGGTAAAACAGATCGATCAATTTGTTGTGTACGAAGAAAAGATCGATGAGCCCTTTGACCTTTCACCAATCCAGAAGCTTCACTTCATGGTCCGAAACGAGGGCCAAGGCCACTTCAACCAAAGCATTCTTACACGCCTGAACCGGCACATTGATGAGCATAGCATGCGACGTGCAGTTGAGACCATTATCAATCGTCACTCTATGCTCCGCTCTCGCCTGGTCGAATCAGATGTTGAGGGGATAATGCGGCAACGAATAACTCAAGATGTAGCAGGGTCTTACCGTTGGCGTTCTCACAACAACAGCAACCGAAGCGAGGTCGACCATGCCATCTCGAACAGCCAGTCATGTATCAATGCCTTCGTTGGCCCCGTACTTGCAATAGATGTCTTCTATGGAAATGACCATTCCCGCCTGCTGTCACTCGTGGCTCATCACATGGTAGTCGACATTGTTTCGTGGAGGATTATTTTGGAAGACTTGGAAGACCTACTGATGAACCCCGATCAACCGATATCGCAGAACGGCTCCCTTCCGTTTCAGAACTGGTGCCAAATTCAAGCAGATCGTTGTCAAGAAGCGACAGCTGAACGAACCATGGATCTGCCTGAAGTTCCCGCACCCGATTTTGCTTACTGGGGACTAAAAAGCCACCAAACCACCTATGGCGATGTGGATTGTGAAACGTTCGATCTTGACAGTGATATTACTCGCCACATACTGACTGGGTGCCACGAAAGTCTTCAAACAGAGCCAATCGATCTTTTTCTAGCAGCTTTGCTACACTCCTTCGGCGAAACGTTCAAAGACCGATCATTGCCAGTTATATACAATGAGGGACATGGGCGAGAAGTCTGGGACTCATCAATAGACATCTCTCGCACTATCGGCTGGTTTACCACACTGTATCCCATTCTTCTATCGGAACTTCCTGCAAAAGATCCAACCGAAACGGTTGTACGTGTTAAGGATTTGCGACGTTGTGTTCCGGACAATGGTCGACATGATTTCGCTCGTCGTATGTTGGTTCCACGTGAAGATGGGACTTGTCGGCACTATAGCCCCATGGAGATGTCTTTCAACTATGTGGGCCAGCACCGTGACCTACAGAGAAAGGATGGGCTCTTCCAACTCATGGATCAGATGGCTGGAGAAACAGGCCGCGGAGGTGCAGCAGCTGATTTTGGTGAAGAAACTCCTCGCTTTGCACTGTTCGAGATATCTGCGATGGTTGTGCAGGGTCAACTTCGCTTTATCTTCTCCTTCAATAGGAATATGCAGCATCAGAATGGAATCCGTAACTGGGTACACTGCTGCAAAACATTACTGGCATCCCTGGGCGAACGCTTACAGGCTCTCCCACCCAAACCCACGCTAAGCAGTTTCCCCATGTTAACATTGACATATACCGAACTCGATGCGTTGGTGTCGAAAAAGCTACCGGATGCCGGTATTCATAGTCTTGATGATGTTGAGGACATCTATCCTTGCTCCAGAATGCAGCAGGGCATTCTACTCAGTCGCTCTCGCGATAGCTCACTTTATGCTGTACATGATACATTCGAAATATCCGGGCCAGGAAGCACACCCGACATCAACCGATTGATACTTGCCTGGCAGAAAGTCGTTGCTCACCATGCAATGCTACGGACTATCTTTCTGGAGGGGTTGAGCAGCCACGACCTACATTGTCAAGTGGTACTCAAGTCGTTCGATTCCCGCCCAACTTACGTCGTATGTGCGAATGAAAGCGAAGTGCTACCTACATTTGACAAACAGCAACCGATGAGCTACGATAATAATATACCTCCTCATCGGCTTACAATCTGCCAAACGGCTTCTGGGAAGCTGTTTTGTCGACTGGAGCTGAACCATGTCGCCATGGATGGTGCATCAATCTCCATCATCCTTCGGGATCTGCAATTAGCGTACCAAGGAAAGCTCGAAGAACCAAAGCCGAAGTTCAAAGAGTATATACGCTACCTTCGTGAGGTTCCCCAAGTCGCAAGTCTTGACTACTGGCGCAATTATTTGTTGGATGTCCAACCTTGTCATTTCCCCGTGCTCAATGACGGCAAAGGCTGTGTAAGGCAGCTTCGGACCAAGAGATTGGCCGGTGTGCCATTCAAAGAGCTACGAAACATCTGCGATATGAATGGACTGACCCTTCCGACTGCCTTTAGTGCTGCATGGGGATTAACGGTTCGCTCTTTTTGTAGATCAGATGACATCTCCTTCACCTATCTTGCATCACTAAGAGATGTCCCAGTAGAGGGCGTTGAATCTGTTGTTGGACCTGTCATCAATACCCTGACCTGTCGTATGCTGTTTGCTAAAGGAACGTCACTGAAGGAGATCCTCGCAAAAGTTCAACAGGATAACCTGGACAATTTGCCGCACAGGCATATCTCACTCACGGAGATCCAGCAAGCTTTGGGACTAACGGCCTCATTGGCTAATAGTGGTATCTCTTACCGGAAGCTTCCCAATCAGAATGCTTTGTCAAGCGAGGAGATACAGTTCTCTGAAGTGGGGACAATTCACGACCCGGCAGAGTCGCCCATCTTTGTCAATGTTGAAGCTACAGAAGACGACGCACGTATCGACCTTAACTACTGGACAGACCACCTGTCGGACGGGCAAGCAGAGAATGTCGCGAGCACATTCCTTAAATCGGTTGAAAATATTGTGCATCACTTTGAGGATGACGCCCATTCAATTGACAACTTTAGCGACGCGAACAGACAAAGCCTAATGCTTTGGAATAGCGAAGTCCCAGAGTCCATCGACAAATGCATGCATGAGATAGTTGATGAGTGTTCGAAATCCCACCCTCACACCATGGCAATTTCTGCTTGGGATGGAAACCTCACTTATGCTAAGCTCAATGAATTGTCATCTCTACTTGCAACGTACTTGACAACACTAGGGGTGGGCACCGGAACAATCGTGCCCCTTGATCTCGCTAGATCCTCCTGGCAAGTTGTAGCCATCTTGGCAGTCATGAAGACAGGTGGTGTATGTGTTCCGGTGAACCCAGCCCGACTGCCACAACATTTCGAGACTTGGCTCGTCGACAATGAGATCCAGGTTGCCCTAGCATCACCGACTCAAATGCAACTACTCGAAGGGGCCGTTCCATATGTAATTTCCGTGGAGAGCTCTCTGTTTGAATACCTTTCAGACAGTGATGCAGTTTCAAGCTCGCCAATTCAGCCATGCAGCGATGCATATATCGTGTTCGGCGCTGAGAGTCCCAAGTGCATCTTGATTGACCATCGTGCAATGACAACCCGGGCAAGCGCGTTCGCTTCAGGTCTTGGACTAAATGCACGAACAAAGATGCTCCAATACGCTCCCTATACTTCTGACATGTTCCTTCAAGAAGTCTTCGGCACGTTCCTGTGCGGTGGGTCTATCTGCATTCCGTCAGATGAAGACCTGGCAGACCTGTCAAAAACCATCAAGACAATGCAGGCGAACTGTGTCAGTATCACACCTTCAACGGCGATGACTCTAAGATCCGCAGAGGATCTGGGGATAGAGGTCCTTGCTTTATGGGGTGAACACCCGACCAAGCAACTTCTTACCGCCTTGCCTGGAGGAATCCAAGTGCATGCATTCTATGGAACGCCAGAATGCTCATCTTCTTGCATTCGATCCCCTCAGCTTGACGGATTATGCGAATCGTCAATTATTGGGTCAAGTATTGGATGTAAATCTTGGCTTGTAGATCCCTCCGATCACGATATTTTGGTTCCGATCGGCTGCGTTGGCGAACTGATGATAGAAGGCCCAAGTCTTTCTCATGGCTACTATCAAGATGCGGAACTCACGCAACAATATTTCGTCGAAAATCCCATGTGGAGACTGGCTTACGAATCTCAGCCACCATCAGACAAAGACAAGAACACGGACGCCCAGAAGCTGTCCTATCGATTGTTCAAGACTGGAGATCTTGCTCGCTACAACTCCGATGGCACACTCGTTTACGTTGGTAAGAAAGATAGAGCATTGCATTGGCAGCGACAGACAGCGGCCATCTACATCGAAGAGCAAATCGCATCCCTCTCATCCTTCAATGTCCAGTATGTCGTTGAGGAGATCAGCAAGAGCAGTGTCGATTCTGCCCGATCGTCTCTGGCCATCTTTTTCTCTGATGAGGCCGTCGACTCCAACGGACACCACCAGCCTATTGCACAATTGTCACCTGAGCTGCACGGCTCAATGATCAGGCTGTATAAAAAGCTGTCGAGCTCCTTGCCAGCGAATTCTGTCCCAAGACTGTATTTTCCGACGTCTAGCATACCACTGAACTCGTTCGGTAAGCTGGACCGCCAGCTGCTGAGAAATGCAGCTCAAAATCTGCCAGAAGAATTGCTGTCTAGATTCGACATCAAAAGCTTTGACAGCTTCTGGAAAGGGCAGCTGGCCACATTGGCGCTTTCGCCAGTGTTCCCGTCACCCCGTGGCTCTTCGTCTCAGCGGAGCACACCGGTCACCAAGCAAGCAACAAAAAACATGCAGATGGTCTGGTGTGATACACTCAGATCAATGACCGAAGGTACACGATGTGCTATCCTTTCTGCATGGGCTCTTACTATTCGCGGCTACACCAGCTCCCGTGATATTGTTTTTGGGGAGTTGCTGTCAGAAGTTGAATTGGCCTCCACTGAGCGTCAGGACAATTATACGCAAGCTGCAACTATCGTTCCCCGACGCTTCCAACTCAACGATGATTGGACCGTTACTGAGTTACTGAGCAGGGTGAAGAGTCAACTGGAGTCAGCTAAGCCCTACCAATGGGCTGGAATAAGTCAAATTCAGAAATTGAACGCTGATACGGCGCGCGCCTGTGACTTCAGGAACTTGATCTCTATAACGGACAATCGTGGCCTTGAACCAAGACTAGTACCCATGAAACAGCATGACAGCAATCTTCCCGGTTATCCTTTGATGGTTTATTGTATCCTTGGAGATGCTACGCTCGAACTCTTGATTAGTTACAATGACAGCACTTTAACAGGCACCCAGATCGAGCGACTGGCTGCCCAATTCTTCGCTTGTGTTGGACTTCTTAACTCCAAGGCTAGCATGAACAAGACAATCGGTGTCTTGTCCAGAGACAACATGGACTTTTGCTCCTTCCGCCATGATGTTGCCTACTGGAAAAACTATTTGGAGGATGTTGAAGCTTGTCTTTTCCCGGCACTACGTACAAGTGCGGAGGAAAATACTCATGCTGAGACCCAGATAATACTCCAGAACACCAAGCATCTACATGATCTCAGTGAACGTGAACGTCTCAGCAAAAGCTCACTTCTTCAGCTTGTTTGGGGCTTGGTTCTGCGATGCTACACAGGCCTACAAGATGTGTGCTTCGGATATCACATTTCAGATGCAAGCGACAGATCTGCCAAGCCTGGAGTTGCGAATAAGCCAGATATTTCAGGTACATTCCCGTGCAGAATGCTCTTGAATGGTGAATCTAGGGTTGCGGAAATTTTGAGAGAGCGACTGCAAGGACTGAATCACATGCAGCAGCATCGGTTGCCGTGGGATGAAGTCCAGCAAGAGCTTGGGTATAGCGACATTTTCAATACCGTTTTCACTTGTTCAGAACAATCAAGTGACGCAGTGAATGTGGCTGGTCTCGCTGATCTTGATCCGAGCAAATACCTGATTACCGTCAACGCCACTCTAGCAGAATCATCAGGAGTCATTAGGTTCGGCTATCAAAGGAGGCACTTCTCAGAAACCGACATGGAAGGCGTCCTTGATTGTTTTAATAATATTCTGGGACAGTTACTCCAATTCCCTCTTCCGGATCTTTTGGTAGGCGAGGTTGACTTTGTGAGTGAGCTTTCCTGCCAGAAGATATCTGAGTGGAACTCGGCGTTGCCAGACCGTCCAGTGCTATGCGCGCATGAGCTCATCCAACAGCAAGCTTTGGATCGTGCTTCGGCTCCTGCAATTTGTTCTTGGGATGGCAACTTCACACATGCACAACTTGACCGATTGTCGACTCTCCTAGCAAACCAGCTAGTGGGGCTAGGGGTCAAGCCCGACACCTTTGTTGCATTGTTTTTCGAAAAATCCGCATGGGCGGTTGTTGCGCAGGTTGCTGTTTTGAAAGCTGGAGGAGCCTTCGCTTCATTAGATCCAGCTCACCCAGAAAGCCGCCTACAAGGCATGATCGATGATCTTGGCGCTCAGGTTATTCTTTGTTCTGAGACACACTACGAGAGAGCCTCCAGCATCTGTCGTCGCGCAATGATCGTAAGCAATAGCGCACTTGAACAACTTCACCACTCACCCTTTGCTGCTCCGACCCAAGAGGTAACCGCTGATAACGCAGCCTACGCCATATTCACATCGGGAACCACAGGGAAACCCAAGGTGACAGTACTTGAGCATGTTGGACTTACTCTAGCCTGCACAGAGCTCTCCAGGGCCTTCTTCATAAGTTCAGAAACACGCGCTCTGCAGTTCTCAAGCTATACATTCGACGTCAGCATATTGGAAACTATCATAGTCCTTGCTGCTGGTGGCTGCATTTGTATCCCTAGCGAAGATGAGCGCATGAACAATCTTTCTGGAGCCATCAGAAAGATGAACGTCAACTTCATGAGCTGTACTCCATCTATCGTTAATACCATGGACCCCAATGCTGTTCCTTCATTGCAAACAATAACTCTCGGAGGAGAAAAAATGACTGCAAGCCATTTTGAGCGATGGGCTGACAGGTGTGTTATTAACGCGTACGGTCCGTCAGAGGCTACTGTCGCCTTTACGTCAAGCACGAAATACGACCATGCAGGAGTACGCCTTACTGATGACTATGGTTCTATTGGCACTGCTATTTGTGGCAGGACATGGATTGTTGATCCCCAAAATCACAATCGACTTGTGCCCATCGGCGCACCCGGAGAGCTCGTTCTTGAGAGTTGCACTGTTGCTCGTGGGTATCTCAATAATGACGAGAAAACCAAGGCTGTTTTCATCCGGGACCCGGAGTGGACTCAGCGTGAAGGGCTACAGCATGTGTTGAGGCGCAAAGAACGGATGTATCGCACGGGAGATTTAGTGCGCTACAACTCCGACGGCTCGATTGCTTTCATTTCGCGAATTGATACACAAGTGAAATTGAACGGTGTGCGCATCGAATTGGAAGAAGTTGAGCAACAATGCAACAACTATCTTTCGACAGATACTCAGGTTGCCGTTGAGGTTGTTACTCCAGAGGCCAAAACTATATCAAAATGCTTGGCTGTCTTCTTCACCATTGACGAGCACCAAATGAAAGATATGGCGAATGGTGAATTCATTCTGCCCATGTCAGAGTCTGTAGTTCACATGGTCAAGAAGCTACACGGTTCCCTAAGCGCTTCATTACCGCTAGCTATGGTGCCCAAGCTTTACTTCCCCATGCGGCGCCTGCCGTTTGGAAGCACTGGCAAAACTGATCGCAAAGCACTTCGAGCAATGGTCGATACATTTACCAAGGAACGCTTGAGACCATATGTTATCTTCAATGTTGGCGCAGAAGAACGCTCCGCTGTGGGAACGGAAGGGACAGATGGCGTTCTCAAGACGCTATGGGAGGAAGTCCTTAACCTTGCGCCAGGTTCTATCAGTGCCGAAGACAACTTCTTCGGCATGGGTGGCGACTCGTTTTCTGCTATGAAACTAGTCGTAGCCGCGGCATCCCAGAATATTTCACTTGCAGTGGCCGACATATACCGAACTCCTATTTTCAAAGACATGGCAAAGAGATGTGGAGCGGGTGAGGTTAAGACTGGCGTACCAACAGTGGACCCTTTCAGCATGCTGCCTGAATCTCTTTCACGCGATGATATTCTGGAGGAAGTCTCTGACCAATGTGGTGTGCCTATGGATCGAATTGCGGACATCTACCCTTGTAGTCCGGTGCAAGAGGGTTTGCTCACACTTTCTATCAAGCAACCCGGAGCCTATGTCGCTCGACCTGTGTTCCAACTCGCAGAGGGAGCTGACCTTGACAAGTTTAAAGCTGCTTGGCAAAAGGTGGTTAATGAAATGGATATTCTTCGGACTCGGGTAGTACACACCGAGTCCGCCAACTTTGTCCAGGCAGTGCTCACTGATGTCCCTATCCTCTGGGAAACGGCAACGGACTTGGATGATTTAGCAAACGACACCATTGACCTAGCCAAGAATAACGGGGGCTTGCTAATCGGATACGCCATTGTCGAGTCCGGACACTCGCGCTCCTTCGTTTGGACCATACACCACGCTCTCTATGATGGATGGAGTGTGTCCCAGATCCTTCAAAGAGTTGAGGAGATATACTCGGGTGCTTCAAAACTTAGCTCGACGCTTCCTTACAAGCTCTTTATCAATCACCTGGTCCAGCAAGAGGCTCATTCCTCGGACGAATTCTGGAAGACGCACCTCGCGGCCCTGTCTTCATGTCCTTTCCCCCAGAACAAGCCGTCACCTGATACCATTCGCGTCGGCAATCGGCATTACAGCTCGCTTGAGATTTCTCGTGCACCAAGTGGGCCTAAGTTGACCGTTCCTGAAATGATACGAGCTGCATGGGCACTAATTGTATCCGTCCACACCGGTTCCGGAGATGTCTGCTTCGCTGAAACCCTAATGGGTAGAAATATTGATATGCCTGGGGCTATGGAAGTTGCAGGACCTCTTTTGACCACGGTGCCTATACGGATGGCTGTCAACAACGAGCTCTCGATTATCCAGTACCTCGATAATGTGCGCCAGCTGACCACAATGATGCTGCCGCATCAACATTCTGGGCTCCAGAGGATCCGCAAGCTAAGCAGAGACACTGCCCTTGCTTGCGAATCCCAAAATCTACTGGTTATTCAATCAGAACAGGCCCATTCGAACACAAGTATCTGGGAGCAAAAGGATAACCTGACTGAAGGCGAATTTTTCACCCACCCAATTGTTGTCGAATGCAAGGTTGGCGAATCGCAGGTGGCCGTAACCCTTCATCACGATGAGCTTGTTTTCGACAGTTGGCAGGCTAAGATGCTCATTGAACAGTTTACCTTCGTTTTGAGTCAACTGTTATCAATCTCCAATGAAGAATCCAGAAAGATCGGAGAGCTAGAGGTTTCCAGTTCTCGGGATAAGGAAGAAATTGCTCTCTGGAATGAGAGGAACCTGACTTGCATAGACAGATGTGTTCATCATATCATTGAGGAGAAAGCATCCCTCCGACCTCAAGCCCAAGCCGTCTGCTCCTGGGATGGACAACTAACTTACCAGGAGCTTTACCAGCTTGCTTCTTCGTTTGCAGCTTACCTAAAAACTCGTGGCGTCGGTCCGGAGACTTTGGTTCCGATCTGTATGGACAAGTCTTTGTGGGCCATTGTCACAATACTGGGTGTCCTCATTGCGGGTGGAGGATATGTCCCCCTTGACCCTGCTCACCCAACGTCAAGGCACAAGGAGATTCTGACAGAAGTCGAAGCCCGTGTCGTTCTCTGTTCTCCCAAGTATCAAAGTCGGTACACTGGCTCTGTGAAAGCAATCATCCCTGTCAGCAAAGAGACGATCAAGGCGTATTGTGCTCTTAAAACGGCAACCGCTAAGACTACTAACAACGCTACACCCGAAAACGTTGCATTCGCTATCTTTACCTCTGGCAGCACTGGCCGTGCTAAGGGTATTATCATCAACCACAAGGCACTTGCCAGCAGCGGCATGGCATTCGGGCCCATGGTGCACCTTGACGAGAATTCTCGAGCTTTCCAATTTGCCTCTCTTACTTTTGATGCTGCTGTCATGGAAACACTCGTCACCTTGATGCACGGCGGTTGCGTGTGCATTCCAAGCGAAGATGAACGCTTGAATGATGTTGCTGGCGCTATTCGTCGGATGAATGTCTCTTGGTCATTCCTGACTCCATCCATAGCCAGTATCATTGAACCGTCATCCGTTCCATCTCTGAGGGATCTTGTGTGTGGTGGAGAGAAGATGTCTCGCGAAGTCATCACCAAATGGGCACATCGGGTAAACCTGATGAATGGATATGGTCCAACTGAAACTACTATCTTCGCGGTTATCAACACAGATGTTGCTGCCAATCCGGATCCCGCCTGTATCGGCCATGGCATTCCTTGCACCCTAACCTGGGTTGTCGATCCTGATGACCACAACAAACTAACTCCTCTAGGGGCTGTTGGTGAGCTGGCACTGGAAGGCCCCGCACTTGCCAGGGAATACCTCAAGAACCCCAAGAAGACAGCAGAGGCTTTTGTGGATGAGCCGGAGTGGATTAAGGCCTTCCCTAGTGTCCTACCTTCGCCCAGAAGAATATACAAGACTGGAGATCTTGTCAGATACAACTCTGACGGTTCCATTCAATACATCAGCCGCAAGGACCATCAAGTCAAGCTTCACGGGCAGCGCATGGAGCTTGGAGAGATTGAGCACAGACTATATGAGGACCCGCGAGTCCGCCACGCTGTGGTCTTACTGCCAACGGCAGGACCCCTCAAACAGCGGTTGGTCACCGTTCTTTCACTGAATTCTGTAACTGCGGAGAAAAGCATCATCTCAGACAATGCATGTGAACTTGTCAATCGCGGCGGATCTGCACGGGCAGCATACCAGGAGCTCGTTGCTATCCAGAAGAGCTTAGAGACACAGCTACCAATCTACATGGTTCCACAGGCTTGGGCTCTGATCAAGCAGCTCCCAATGCTCGTGTCTGGTAAGCTAGACAGGAAGCGAATCACAGCTTGGCTGGAGAATGTTGATGATGCTGCTTATGATCGCATAATGGAGGATTACGATAACATAAAACGTGGGGATGTCGAGCAAGACGAGGAGAAAGAGGATGACCAAGAGACTTCTGTCAAGCTTCTTCAGGAAGTCTTTCCCCAGGTTCTCAACTTACCATCTCACAAGGTGGGCTTGGACAGGTCATTTGTGAGCCTAGGTAAGCAAAGCCAGAATGGTAACGGAGTGTGGAGAGTTGCTAATAGTGCGGTGCAGGTGGTGATAGTATCACTGGAATGGCTGTCATTTCTCGAGCGCGTAAACATGGACTCACGCTGACCCTCCACAATGTGCTTCAGTCGAAGTCGATAAAGGAGCTTTCTCTAGCTGCTCAGACAAGCGTCAAGACAGTGAAAAGAGAGGAGAAGCCTCATGAATACTTCGAACTGTCTCCGATCCAGGGATTGTTCGTTCAAACAACAACAAATTTTCGGGATTCTTCTCGCTTTAACCAAAGCATGACAGTTCGCGTTACTCGAAGGGTCGAGCCAACTAGAATGCAAAGCGCCATCAAGGCTGTTGTTGAACAGCACTCCATGTTCCGAGCACGGTTGTTCAAGTCTCGCGACGGAAAGTGGAAGCAGAAGATCAGCGATGTATGTCTAGCTTCTCCCTCTCTAACTCTGCTTGGGTACCGGAAGCTTACTGATTTAGGATGTTGATGCCTCATACCGCTTCCGTCATCATATGGTGGAAAATAAAGATGCCATTCTCCCCAAGATCGCCGAGTGTCAACGGTCTGTAGATGCTCAACATGGACCCATCGTTGCTGCAGACATGTTCCAAGTACGCAGCGGCATCACAATACTTTTCCTGGTGGCCAGTCATTTATGTGTTGACATGGTATCCTGGCGTATTGTCCTCCAGGACATTCAAGATTTCCTCGATGCTGGATCATTGTCCCCGGAGAAGCCTCTGTCATTCCAAGCTTGGTGCAACCTTCAGCTTGAACAAAGCAAGAAACCAAATGGCAGAGTCCAGCTGCCTTTTTCTATTCAGCCTCCTGACCTGAAATACTGGGGCATGGAGCAGTCCCAGAATCTCTATGGGGATGTCAAGATGGAAGGGTTCACGCTTGATGCCGCAGTCACGACACAAATCCTCACAGCCTGCAATAAGGTTCTACGCACTGAGGCTATTGAAGTCATACTCTCCGCTGTTATTCACTCTTTCCGTCGCACGTTTACTGATAGAGAAATGCCGACTATTTACAACGAGGGCCACGGTCGCGAGGCGTGGGACAGCTCTATCGATCTCTCAAGAACGGTGGGCTGGTTCACGACTATGTGTCCACTGCATGTTGGTGAAGGGTCGGGTAAGTCTAATTCTAGCCTATCAACGGAGCAATTTCTGACTGCTATAGATCTACTTGACACTTTGAAGCGTGTCAAAGACACAAGGCGTCACCTCAGCAGTAAGAGCCGGTCATACTTTGCGGAAAGCCTGCTTCAGCCGGAAGGTAAAGAGGGCGATGCTTTCCCTGTCCCGCTCGAGATTCTGTTCAACTACCTTGGCCAGCTGCAACAGCTAGAGCGCGATGATTCGCTTTTCCAACATTATGGTGAAGCCTTCAACGCGGAGACCTTCGAGATGACAGGGGACATGGGCTCAAAGACACCTCGGTTTGCTCTCTTCGAGATCTCGGCGCTTATAATCAAGAACAAGCTTCAGGTATCGTTCACTTACAATAAGCACATGCAGAAAGAACAGCGGATCAAGGGCTGGATATCTGAGTGTAAACGAGTGCTGGAGCATATGTCTCGTTTCGAGAGCTTCACATCTGAGCCGACACTCAGCGATTGTCCCTTACTCCCCATCACTTACGAAGGCCTGAACAACATGGTCAAGAGAGCATTCCCAAAGATTGGAATTGATAGCTGGGATCAGGTTGAGGAGGTTTATCCCTGCTCCCCAGTACAAGAAGGTATCCTTCTTAGTCAGCTTCGAGACCCGGAGGAATACCTGTTCCATGTCATCTTCGAAGTGCACCCATCCAAGGGTAGCAAGGTGGATACAAGCAAGCTTCGAAAGGCATGGTCCATGGTTGTCAGCAGGCACCCTATCTTACGGTCTGTCTTCATTGACAGCAACTACAAAGGCGGATCTTTCGACCAGGTAGTGGTCAAGTCACTCGACGATGAGGTCATTGAGTTCCAGTGCCCTGAGTCGGATGCATTGGGTACACTTGGGGAAATAAAGCTGCGCGATATCAATGCTGAGAGATCGATGAAGCTCGCCCACCAGATGACCCTCTGCAAAACAACTTCTGGGCGAGTCCTGTTCAAGATTGAGATGAACCATGCCATTATCGATGGCGGGTCGGTTGACCTGCTTCTTCGGGATCTCGCCCTCGCATACAGTGATCAGCTTTCTGCCGGAACCGGTCCACGTTTTAGTGATTATGTCAAGTATATCAGGGAACAATCCCAGGGAGAAGCTGTGGCACACTGGGTGAAGTATCTCTCTGGCGTACGACCTTGTCACCTCCTGGTATCTTCCAAAAAGAGTGGTAGCCACCAGCTCGGCGAGCGCATGATATCTTTCAAGCGCTTTTCTGAGTTGCAAAGATTCTGCGAGGAAAATTCCGTCACACTCGCCAACTTGACCCTCTGTGCCTGGGCAATTGTACTCCGGAATTGTACAGGATCTGATGATGTCTGCTTCGGATATCCGTCTGCTGGTCGTGACTCCCCTGTTCCTGGGATCCAAGATGCGGTCGGTATCTTCATCAACATGTTGTGCTGTAGAGTCAAATTCTCTCCCGGACAAACTCTTCTTGAGATTGCCAAGAAGGTACAGGATGACTTTGTCAGGAATGTGCCGCATCAACACTGCTCTCTGGCTCAGATCCAGCATGAGCTTGGAATGCATGGAGAGACGCTCTTCAACTCAACTCTTTCCATTCAGAATCGCTCTGCCAACAAAGGCACTGGAAATTTGCCGCTCGACTTCGAAGCCCAAAAGGCCCATGACCCGACTGAGGTGAGTTGATACCGTCTCGAGCGTAGACGCGAGCTAACCATTGATTTAGTATCCTGTTACTGTAAATGTGGAGACTACCAAGGGCAAGGAGGGAGTTTTGCTGAGGTACTGGAGCAACGCAGTGACCGAAGCACAAGCAAAGGAGCTAGCGGCAGCTGTTACCAAGGTCTTCACATGCTTCATCGAGGAGCCATCCAAGTTGGTATCGAGCTTGAACCTCCTTAACAAGCTACCGCGGAACCGTTCGCAGCACACCCACAGAGAGCCCCTCATTTTGGACCAATTGATTGACAGTCAGGTCCTACAGAAACTAATTGACGATCGCGTGAATGAGATAATCAGCCAGATGCTGAAGGAAGGCAAGCTCGCCATACCCCTTCCTGATCAGAAGACTAGATACTCGAACAGCTCTGTTCAACTCAAGATGGTCGAGGCTTCGCTCCAGGAGGATCCCATAATAGACGAAAAGGATCTTGCAAACTCAACACCATCCCTAACAGATGATGGCAGAAGCTCAAGTGACAATGATAGGCGCCTTTGGGACCTGTGGAAGTCGACATTAGGGCTATCTTCAGACATTATCCAATACCGGAGTAGCTTTTTCAAGCTAGGCGGTGATAGTATTACAGCAATGAAGATGGTCAGCGCTGCACGAGAAGAGGGCTTGCAAATGACAGTGGCGGATGTGTTCAACAACCCGATCTTCGAGGACATGCTGGCTACGATTACTCCGAGCAGCAGCCCGACCTCAAACGCCGATACCCAGTGCGCAAACAACATTGAAAAACTCCTGGAGGCTGATGATGCTCTTCCAGATGCTACCCCACCGCAGGATATCTCGGTGCTTAGGCCAATGCAGCTCGATGCCATGTCTCTGCTTGATGTCATCTGCCCTAAGATAGGGGTGTTCAAAGGAGGAATTGCTGATGTTCTCCCTGTTACGGACTTCCAATCCATGTCGATCGCTGCCACGCTCTTCGGATCGAGGTGGATGCTGAACTATTTCTTCCTCGATGGAAGTGGTCCTCTAGACCTTCGACGACTGAGGGAAAGCTTCTTGAGGGTGGTCGATGCTTTCGATATCCTTCGGACTGTTTTTGTCTGCCACCACGGGCAGTTCTTCCAGGTGGTGCTGAGAAAAGTCCGACCGGATATTTTTGTGCATGAGACGGAGCAGAGTCTAGATGAGTACACCAACGGCTTACAAAAACGGGACCGCGAACAAGATCCACGCCAAGGTGAGCAGTATGTGCAGTTCTACGTTGTCAAGAAAAAGAATAGCGACCAGCATCGCATCTTGATCAGGATGTCGCATGCCCAATTCGACGGCGTTTGTCTGCCAAAAATCATGAACGCAATCAAGCTGGGATACGAGGGCAGCACCCTACCTCCAGTCTTCTCCTTTTCGAACTATATGCGGATGCTTCCTGGAAACATCACCCCGGCACACTACCACCACTGGTCAACAATTCTCAAGGGCTCTAAGATGACCGATATCATTCGGCGCACGCAGCCTAATACCTTCATGCATATTGGTGCTTTCGCTGAGCAGAAGAAGACTATAATGATACCCTCAACCGCCATAGGAAATGTCACCCTCGCGACCGTTATGCAGTCTGCATGGGCGGTGACTTTGGCAAAACTGACTGCCCAGTCGGACGTGGTCTTCGGGCTTACAGTCAACGGCCGTAACGCCAGTGTTCCTGGTATTGAGACCCCTGTTGGGCCCTGTCTTAACATTCTTCCCATTAGGGTTAAATTCAGGGAGCATTGGACTGGTCTTGACCTCTTCCGTTATCTCCAAGATCAACAGATCGCCAACATGCCCTATGAGTCGCTAGGATTCAGGGAGATTATCCGGAACTGCACCGATTGGCCCGACTCCACATACTTCACCACCTCCGTGTTTCATCAGAATGTCGAGTATGAGGGACAGATGCATCTAGACGGCAATTCGTACCGAATGGGAGGCGTTGGTGTTTTGGACAACTTCACTGATCTCACGCTGGCCTCCAAGTCCTGTGGTCAAGAGAAGCTCGATGTCTCAATCGGGTACTCGCTCAAGGGCCCCATTCCAGCAACCTTCATCGCTAAAGCCCTTAACATGGTTTGCGAGACTGTGCAGAGCCTGATTGCCAACCCCAGCGTCCCACTTGCCTCCCCTGCCACTATCCGCTCCCTGCCTAGCCAGGTCATTCGTGAAACACCCAGAGCATCTGATACACCCTTCCTCTCGTCAAATCTAAACAGCCAGAAGATGTCGGAGATTGTAATTCACTCAGATATCCTTACCCGGTCCTGGCAGCAGGTGCTACCCCGTCGGACTGACAACCCACAATACCAACTCGATGCATCTTTCTTCGACCTGGGCGGAGACATCATGAATGTTGCCCAACTGGTCTGGATCCTGGGAGAAGAAGGCTTCAGTGTCCGTTTGGAAGACCTTCTCGAACACCATACGTTCCTGGGAATGATGGCCGTGATGGCGATGCACCACAAACCAGAACTGAATGCCAGAATGGCAGCGACCATGGCTGAAGAACCAGCCAAGGAAATGAGAATGACTATGACAAAGAGCAACAGCTGGAGCTCGCTGGGCAAAGCGATGACGCTTGCTAAGAGATTTACTAGATGGGGGGCTGTAGCAGCCAAAAAGTGAGGTTTACATTCATTGTGGAGGATACATAACACACTCTTTCGATTTCTACCATGTACTATTCTGTTTTTTCTGTATCGCATATGATTGTGTTGAACTACATTCCTTTTTGTTTCCATGTTTGACGTTGAATATTAACTGTCTTCTTTTGGAAACTAGATATGATGATGATCTAGATTTTTTGTTATTAAAAGCTCATCTGATAATCTATGTTTGCATAGATCTGTTTTGACTATAGCTCATCATTTTGATAGTCTTAAAACCTCCCAATCAGTCTGAGATGGGTAGAGGATGATAGAGACTGTGGTTATGCCATCATCATTCCCCGCCACTATTATTTCCATTGACTATGTACTGTTAGGATCATACCACATGGGTATTCACCAACAGATGCACTTAAGGCTCCGCGACGCAATGAGCCACCTTAACTATGCTGCACAATGCCATGTAATTACATTACATTATGCGTTCGCCGCTGTATGAGGGAACCAAGCGCCGCGCTGCGGCAACCTAGGCTCAATCTGATTAGAGGAACCACTTTGGTACAGCATTACCGGCATCTATACAACCAAGGCAGACCTGAGTAAACTGCATTGATTACTATACGTAGACGCAAAAACGATAGCTATATCTAAATCATTCCATTTAACTAAACCTAGACATTAATCGGTGGTAATACGTTATTCCTGTCTATCAAAACCCCGGCCGTGCTATGCGTGTCATGCCATACAAATCAAATCAAACCAACAAAACCAGAGGTATCTCGAGCAATCCGACACAAAATCCCAGTGAACAAAACTTTTTTTAAATCTGACCCGCTTCATTTCAACTTTGGAAGACTGGCATGGAATGGACGTGGGGTATATGTGAACGCGATGGGTATAGGAAGAGAGACGACATTTCTGAGCAACAACATCGAAGATAGGTAAGAGGTAGGATCAGTACCCGTAAACCGAAGCCCGGGACCACTTTCCCTTGGCCCTGATGCGCTTTCCGAAGATATAGAACAGGTAAGGGATCGGGATCAATGCGACAGCCACAAAACCTAGCACACTCGCAGCCCAGTCCACACCGAGACGATGGAACATGATATTAGCGAAGAGAGGGAAGCAGCCCGCGAACAGACTTCTCAGGAAAGTGTTCGCCGCAACAGCACTAGCGGAGACTTTCTGGAAGGTGTCGATCAGGTAGTTCAGGGCAGCTTGGAAGATGGTGAAGAAGCCGAAACCCATGCAGACGGCGCCGATGATGGGAGCGATCCAATGGATGTGGGGGTCACTAGTCCAGGCGAAGATGAAGAGGCCGGCGGCGAAAACGATAGAGCCGAGCATCATTGGGGGCAGACGGGCTTCAGGGACGGGAAAGTTGTTGTTCGCTTTGAAGCGGGAGATGTAGAATTTCTGGTTGAAGAGGTTGATGCAGGCGCCGAAGAGGATACCGACGAGGTAGGCGAGGAAAGGCAGGGCGCCGACGACTTGGTTCCAGCCGCGGACTTCTTGGAATTCGATGGGGAAGGAGGCCAAACTGAGGTATAGGATACCGTAGACGAAGGAGGCGTAGATGGCGACGAGGAAGCAGATGGGCGTAGTGAGGAGGGCGAAGGGTCGGATGAGATACTTATTGCCGAGTTCCTTGAAGGTGACGTCCCATTCTTCATGACGGGCGTGGAGAGCCCAGTTGCCTGTTTCGAAGCGGAGTCGCTGAGCCTTGTAGACGAGGAGAACAGCCGGGTAGCTCTCGTCGAGGAAGATGAGGTCCATCGCGAGGAAGAACATCATCATGATTCCGGTAATGTATTCGGTCCAGCGCCAGCCGAGGTAGCTCTGGCAGATGGCACCTCCGACAATCGGACCCAGCACCGGTCCTCCGACCACAGCCATGGCGTAACCAACAATAGCGGCACCTCGCTGCTCTGCCGTCCAGATGTCACTCAGGACACCACCGGTGTTCGTGACGGGCGCGGAGCCAAAGAATCCGCAGAAGAACCGAGTGAGCATGACGGTCTGGAGGTCCTTAGCTGTGGCGGTACCGAACGAGAAGATGGCTGCGATGAAGTACGGCGCAAGCACAGCAGGCTTACGTCCATAGACCTCGGATAGCGGTGCCCACACGAGAGGGCCAAGTCCTAACCAAGTCAACTCATGCGCAGAGGTCGAGCGATAGTATCAAGACCTACCAAAACCGAACAACAGCAGCGTTGTACCCAATGTGCCGACCTCCTCACCCACGTGAAACTCCGCATCGATTTGCTTGGTGCCCGTAGAGAAACTGCGCTTTATTAGTAACTGGAATACAGTCCAAGTATCGGCATAGAGGAACAGCAAGCATACATCGAACTAGCCCAAGTCGCACCTATAGAACGCACCCACCGTCAGTACATCACCTAAAGAAAAAAAAGTATAACAGCAATCGCACATACCCATTGTAGTCAACCCATACAAAACCGTCGTAATCGCCTTCTTGCGAAAACTCCAATTCATCGGCCTGTACGGATCATCCGGCCCATCAAAGTCGACAATGACGTCCTCGGAGGTCCTAGTATGCGACAGCGGATGCGTGAAGCGGGCAGTTTGACCCGGTTCGCGACTGCGAATGCGCGAAATTACTGAATGCGCACGATTCTCCAGGGCAGACATGCCCGACGCCGCGGTAGTCTGCTTCTCCAATGCAGTCGGATCATCCTGATGAACGTATGCGCTGTGGTCTTCGGAGGACTCGACATCTTCGGATGAGAGCGATGAGCGTGAGTGCTCGCGTCGCGACATATTGAAGAACGGTATATTCAATTGATTAATTCCGAGTTAGATAATGGCAATTAGAACCCGTTAAGTCACTATGCATATGAGAAGGGGGGGGAATGATATCAGAGGGACGAAATCAAAAAAATATCCCCGATAAAAAAATCTCCGAATCTCCGAAAGCAACGGTGGGATAAGATAATTGCCGAACCCCAAGCATGCGACAGAGAGTATTGAAATGATTTCAACCACCAGCACCGTTGAGCAGGTAGTACCTGAGCAATGTGATCCAGCAGTGGAGGCGAAGATCCAAATTAATTCCAGGGCAGGATATGCCAGTATCTTTAAGGCACATTTCTTTGGCGTGGAACCGAAACCCGAAGCCGTTTTACCCGGGAGCAGCGTCATAGCATCGGACGTCCGATCGCGGCCCTCCCCCAACGGGCTCTTTGCATTTGCCGCACGCTGATTCGGCCATTCGATAGAACTGTCCGCCGGATCGACGCCAATTCCTGGATAGATCAGGTCCTCGAACCGCCCTACGCACACCATGAGTCACTTCCTGCACGTATCACAGCCTGACAGGGCAGTTGTACCCGGTCAAGAGAAGAGGGGACCGTGATGGGTGTCATTTGTCACTTGTCAGGGACGGATGCATCCGATGGGGTACGTGACAGTCCGGAAACTTATCCGACCCACGGTGATCGTCGCCCACCGCTAGAAAGTCTAACTGTCGGTCAAAGAGTCAAGAGAGGTCTACTAAGGTCTAGACGAGGTGAGAGATAAGGGCGGCTCGTGTCTATAATTGTCGCTGCTACGTGGTCTGGGTCCCCTGTAACAAACAACAAACATGCATTGATTGCTCCGTCTATCCCTTTAAGTCTTATCGTAATGTTCCAATGCTGGCGGTAAATGTACAGCGTCATAATACATCAATCATCCATCCTCATCCGGATGTTGTCGCGTGCGCACTCTCCCACTTCTCAACGGCCTCCAGTGCGGCCGTCACTTTAAGCCCAACACGCGCGTCTAGTTCATAGCTCTCCCACTTGGCCGCCTTCTCCAGGTGCTCCTTGCATTCGCGCACTTGCCGACGCTCTAGCTGCGTATCGCTGTCGGTGCTTGGTTTCTCGCTGGACGACGCCGGTCCTCCGTGGATAGCACTGTATGTCGGGCGCTCCATCCACAGGTTAGCCGCCATCTCAAAGTGTGCCACCGGGTAGATCCAGTCATCCTTGAGATGTCCAGTGAACTGCGACTTGTCTTGGCTGAAGATGCTCGTGCGAATCATCTCCTTCGCCTCATCGTGCCGGCGCATGGCACGGAGGACAGCTGCACGCAGGAGCTGCAATATAGCCTTCTCTTCCGGACCTTCGCGAGACCATGTCTTATTGGCTTCGCCTTCGGACCACGCCAGCTTCGTCATGGATTCTTCGAGCTGTTCCTGTGTCATTCGGCTGTGTCCGTTCCAGAAGAAAATCATCTCTTCAATCGGATCCACCCCCACAGCGTCCACCAAGGGCACCTTCCACTCCTTAGCGCGGGCCTCCCACTTGGCGACCTTGCGAGAAACAAAGACATCAAAAGGCAGTTGTCGAGCCATGAACTTCTTCTTCCCAGCCAATGGCGGCGCCTTCCGGAAGTACTCCACGGCCTTCTCGGCATGTTTTGCTGCCGCGGTGGCATCCGTTTCAGCAACGTTCCGGTATAAGCTGAGATGAGCCGATCCTGCAATATAGTAATATAGCGATCGAGACCAAGAGTTGAGTTCGACGCACTGATATGGTCAGTTTGATAATGAACTTCTGTGTGAACTAGAGATTGGCATACCTCGAGGAAAGACTCCGCACAAAGCTCGTATCTGTGGAGATACATGGCGTTCAAACTCCGTTCGAAAACCCGCAGCGCCTCAACCTGCTTGAGCGGACTGCGGTCTTCTCCACAGAGCAGCTCCAAAGCAACATCTAATTTCTTGTTTGCTCCGTTCATCCGTGACTCCTCCAGCAGCCACAATTGACTCTTCGGGAACCGCTTCCGCATCAGGGCAAGCAAGGCCTCTAGCCGTTCCTGGGGATAGCCTTGCACGTCATCGCCAGGGACAGGATCGGGCATGATATCGCAATACCGAACAAAGCCGTTCGAATAGCCGAGAATGGAGAAAGCAGCGAGGGCGCCGATCAGGTTGTGAAATTTACTGGCTTGCCAAAGCATCCTCAATCCCCGCTCCTTGTCCCCATGGAAGCCAATGATTCCCAAAAGCTTACTGAATGCGGGCGGGACCATCGAGATCAGGAGCAGAAGAATTCCAAAACAGAAGTTGGCGCCGGAGTGGACGAAGACGTCGATCTGGTTCTTGAAAATATCCGAGTCAGGATCGTGGCTCAGCATATCAGAAGGGCCTGATGCCGATGTTTCGGAGTCCGCGGAGATTGAAAGGTCTGAAAGTTCTTTTTTCAGGTCGATCGGTTCTACTGGAGATGCAGGAACGGATTTAGATCCCGCACCCTGCCCAGCACCCCGTGGGAGACTCTCTGTAGAAGTGCTATTCCCGGAGTTCCGCGCCTGCATGATGAACTTCTGCTCCATCTTAAGAATAGCGTCTAAGGTGATGTAGGCCTTTCTGAGCCTATAGAATCCTTTGATACTTTCCGTAAGGCTTTCATTCAAGACGCCGACGACAGCGCTCATGAGCTGCGCCATGGCCTGGCAGAGCGCAAATTCCGTCCCGGGAGCATATATTTGTGAGTGGTACGTATTTGGCGCATGAGAGTTATGTTGCGCGCGATGCTGGTCGTTGGCGGCACTCGTCTCCGCGGCATTGAGTCGCTCCGAGGCTAGAGAACATCAGTCATCAAGGACACTTCTAACAGAACAGTGGTCACACTGGTTACACACCCTGACGCATGATCTCCTGTTCGAATCCCAGTGTGGCCCGGATGAACGCAACGACGCCTCTGCCAAGCTATATACCAGGCACAAGTTGTAGATCAGCAGAGGCACTACAGAGCTAGTGACTTTGAAGATCGGCAGGTACTTGTCCAAACCAAAGGCATACGCACATTATGAAACGACGAGGTTCCTTCGGAAAGACCATCTTCGGCGCCGTCCACATCGTCATTGAGGATTAAAGTGGCAGCTGGTTGCCCAACCCGTCAGTCAGCATAGCGCCCTTAGCACTGACCCCGGAAGAGCGGGGATTCGATCACGCATGAGAAATTGGACATACCCCTCATAGCATCCTCAACTTTGAGTCCCAAAAAATTCATTGTCAGCGTCTTTCATATTGTAGATGGCGCTGAGAAGGCCTCTGTGCTCACTCACGATCTCGCAGTTCGGACAGAGAGTCCAGGGACTGGGTGGAGGCCGGCTTCTTGCCATAGAGCCAGGAGCCTACGCGAAACATATTCAAAAGAAGGACCCCGGTAAAAACCAGACATAAAAGTAAAGATCAAACTTGGAAAGGGAGTTGTGCACGAGACGTATGGCGGTCAATTAACCAAGAACCGAAGGGCTCCGAAGCCCAAAGCGAGACGTAGACGGAATGGGGAAGATTATCGAATCTCCCATTCGATACGCACCAAGAACGTAGTGAGACTCCGGGAACATAACCCAAGGAAGAGAGAGAGGTGGGGGGCAAAGAGAATAAATAACAACAGTCGAAAAGGTGAGAAAATTGTACGGAAATAAAAAAAGAGGCGACTCCGACCCAAGGGCTAGGCTGGAAGGCCTGGGGATTATAAGCAACGGGGACCAGAAACAATAATAGCGTCGAAACCACGGTCCACTTGCGGCGGCGAGGCGGAGCAACTGGCTGGATATTGCCGGGCGTTGCTCACGAACAAGGCAGTCAGAGATCACGAACCGTGATTTAGCGCATCGGGAGAGGGGATCGTTTAAATGTCTCACGAATAGGAGGGAGGAAATGCTGGACAGAATGGAGCTGGGGTCATCTCCGGTATGTCCGGCAAGACTGGAGGGGGAGGGAGACGAAGAAGGAGGAGATCAATAAAGCTTGACGTCGTCAGGTCGAATTGACCGACTGCGGACTAGTCCAGTGAGTGAGTCTGATTGTAGTGCCGCCCAGCCAAAGGTGAACCGACGCCATCGCCTGCGTCTCCGCCGCCGCCGCCGCGACTCTCTCTCTCATTCCATTACCTTGCCAACTACCAACATCACCCACCACCGCCACTTTTCCAATCTTCTGATCTGTCATTTCTCATTCCTCACCTCTTCTCCTCCCCCCTCCCTCTTCGTTTCCTTCGTACGACCCCTCCTTTCACCTCCCTAGAGCCACCTGTCCGCTCTCACTCCCCCTCCCACTCCTACCCATCATGTCGAATCCCACCGCGACCCAGGACACCAAGGCCGAGCCTACCCAACAGCCACAGCAACAGAAGCCCCCCGTGCTGGAAGAAGATGACGAGTTTGAGGACTTCCCCGTCGAAGGTTAGCCACAAACCACACAGACCGCTGGTCTTTCCTGTCATGCAGAAGAGGGAGCTTCGCTCCGCCCAGACAGCCGGCAAAATGATCTTACGGATGACGGGTTGCGCTGACCTCGGAGCTTTAATTGCAGACTGGCCTCAGGAGGAAACCGAACAAGGATCTGCTGCCAACGGCGCAAGCGCTCATTTGTGGGAGGAGAGCTGGGATGATGACGATGCGGCCGAGGACTTCTCGAAGCAACTGAAGTACGTTTTCCCAAGCCAAGCCAAACCGAACCAAACCTCATCGGTCAATGCTATGAGCGCAATATGTTACCATTGATCTACACCTCATCTAAAGCTCAAATTGGACTAACATGTTTGCTTCGAACTACAGAGAGGAGCTGAAGAAGGTCGGGGCGTCTAATCAATAGATTATATTAGATGACGGGTTGTCGGTTTAATTGAGATGAACACACGCAAATTCCACGAAGCATTAATCACTTGATTACACGTGCAGCTTTACCCTCACGCGGCTCGGTAGTGAGACGATGAACAATGTTGGAGCTAGATAGACTTGTTTGAGTAAGAGATTCGTCTGCTTTGGCGGTGCCGGACCGGTAGGCTAGCCCAGCTGCGCGGTTGTGGAGGATTCGTCTGCAGAGGATAAGTCGTCTATGGTGGGAGATCTGGTACAGGCTAGCACTTTGCTGGAAGCGGTGTATGTGCTGCATGAGCACATTATGTACTTTCTACGATTATTTACACACCCATTACTGAAAGGATCAAGTCCACCGCCCATCAGCTTGTGGCCCCCTCATCGTAGCTCGCATTTGATAAAACCAGACTCACAGCTTCGGACCCGTCACTAGTCATGAGATTGCATCATCAGAACCTCTCTTGATTATGTAGGCAAACGCGTATTTTGTTGAGATTAATTATCATTCTTTGTACATTACGTTCGTAAAATTGTTCCCTGTCTTGAAGGGGCGCCGGGAAGGCTGACAGGTACTACACAAGCCGCCTGTCCACTAGTCCAGAGCATGGAAGCTCAACCACAGCTCATCCTCCTCCAAAGAAACATGGACGGATTTTGTCATGCAGCATCTCCGCATATCCAGTGTGGTAATATGTTTGTTCAGATTTACTTACTCGACAGGGCAGCAACACCGGGCAGCTCCTTGCCCTCCAGGAGCTCCAGAGAGGCACCACCACCGGTGGAGACGTGGCTAAGCTTGTCCTCGACACCGTACTTGGCGGCAACGGTGGCAGTGTCACCACCTCCGATGATGACGATGGAGCCGGACTGAGCAGCGGAGACGACGGCATCGAGGGTCTTCTTGGTGCCGTTGGCGAAGGGCTCCAACTCGAAGACACCGGGGGGACCGTTCCAGAGGATGGTCTTGGCCTCAGCAATGGTCTGCTTGTAGAGCTCAACACTCTTCTCGCCAACATCCAGACCCATGTAGCCATCGGGAATACCCTGAGCGTCGGTAGCAGTGCCGGTCTTGGCATCAGCAGCGAACTTGTCGGCAGTGACGTAGTCGACGGGCAGAACGATCTTGACGTTGTGCTTCTTAGCCTTCTCGACGACCTCGCCAACAATCTTGCTGCCAGCCTCGTCGAAGAGACTGTTTCCGATCTTGACATTCTCAAGGGTCTTCTTGAAAGTGAAAGCCATGGCACCGGTGATGATCAGGCTGTTGACCTTGGGCAGCAGGTTGTCGATCAGCTGGATCTTGTCAGAGACCTTGGCACCACCCAGGATGGCAAGGAAGGGGCGCTGGGGGCTCTCGAGAGCCTTGGCGAAGTACTCGAGCTCCTTCTTCACGAGGAAACCGGAAGCCTTCTGAGGAAGGTCAACACCGACCATGGAAGAGTGAGCACGGTGGGCCGTGCCGAAAGCGTCGTCTGTGGTGTGGAATATTATTACACAGCTCATAAACTAGTGGCCTCCCAAGATGGGAGGTGCGAGGAAAGGATGACTTACTGATGTAGACGTCACCAAGAGCAGTCAGACCCTTGCGGAACTCAGCGACCTTCTCCTTGTCGGCCTTGACCTTCTTGCCCTCGGCATCCTTGGAGCTGCCCTCCTCCTCGGCGTGGAAACGCAGGTTCTCGAGGAGAACAACCTGGCCACCAGTGGCCTTGTTGACGGCCTCCTCAGCCTCCGGGCCAACGCAGTCCTCGGTGAAGACAACGCTGCGGCCAAGCAGCTTCTCGAGCTCGGCAACAACGGGCTTCAGGCTGTACTTGTCGTTCTTCTTGCCGTCGGGGCGGCCCAGGTGGGACATGAGGACAACGGCCTTGGCACCATTCTCGATGGCGTACTTGATGGTGGGCAGAGCACCGACGATACGCTGGTTGTTGGTGATCTCCTTCTTGTCATTGAGGGGGACGTTGAAGTCGACCTGTCCAGTGAGCAGACTAGTTAGCATTGAAGGCTCATCTTAAACCCCACGACGGTGACTGATGAAAAGGTGGGGGTTTCCGGGGCAACAACAACATACCCGGATCAGGACACGCTTGTCCTTGAGGTCGACATCGGTGATAGCGAGCTTGTTGGTAAGAGACATGATGAACGACGGTTCTACGACAGTCGGACGGGGTTAGAGGATGTGAGGGGAAGATAGGGAAGTGGGGTGACAAAAAAGAGAGAAAGGAGAAATTGGGAGGGGGAGAGACGTAGTATTAGTAGCACCACGGGAGACGAGGGGATTGGGAAAAATGCCTACTTAATAGGTCCGCGGTGAGCGAGTCTGGTCACTGGAAGCTACGACTTCATTCGGTTCGGCGGCGGGGTAAAAGTGGTATGGGCTGCTGGTGGGGCAGCCGGTGAGAGAAGTTGAAATCGCGGGCGCCTCGGGCTGATGCGGGACTGATGTCAGCGCCCGCGAATCGATGACGGAAGGGTCCGGGGCTTCAGGGGTGAACATTATGCCTGTTATGCCCCGTTCGGAGCCCCTTAGCCTCGGATCATTGCTGCGATGGGAGCTTCTGCTGCGTCCGGGGGTGGATCTATCAAGCAATCGTTCCGATATTTCTCGTCTATGGATGCCGGCTCGCTCGTGGGGACAACCCCGCCTACAGGAGACATTCCATCATTCGTGCCTAGTTCAAACCCGAAAAACAATGGTGTATAATTCATTTTGTCGACATGGTTTATCGATCAATGCAATTGACTCCGGTGTACCCACACTGCTGGACGAAGACCTATACACCACCCATGAGAGGAAGAATAGCAGAACCCCCAAAGCTCATTTACAGCGCCCAGTAAGCACAAAACGACGCAGGGGAAGGAAGAATGACAGACAATTGACAGAAGAAACGATTGGGAACCTTGTGGGAGCCAAAATATGAGCCCGCTACTACCATTACTCCTCCTCCGAAGAGTTGGTCAGCGACAGATACGCAGTCCAGGCGATTCCGACGGAGGACACGAAGGGCTGGAAGAAAAAAATACATCAGTATAACAGCGCACAAGAGATCTGTCACAATAGTACTCACAATCTGGAACTGGATAGGTACAACACGGAAGTTCAGAATCTGAACAGCGGGCCAAAGGACAAAGTTGGCCTTGAGGGTTGGCAGATAGACGTCCTGGAACTTGCGCGTCAAGGCTCTCCTTCCTCCTCCCTCTGCAACCGTCATGAAGGAGAAGAAGCACGCCAGACCTGGTAATATTATTAGCTAAGAGAAAAGAGCTTTCTTCTTCCTTCGGAGACATTTCATACCAAAAGGAGCGAACATCAGCTGATCCACGCACACTCTCTTCAGCGCGGGAATCGACGGGTTCCTCTTGGTAAGGGGGAACGCCCTGGACAAGAAACCGAACCAATGGAACTGAACTGGGGCCATGAAGAAACCGTACGACATAAAGCGAGTCAGGCGCTCGAAGTCAAAGGGCGGCGGCATATGTCTAGCATGTCCCAGCTCTCCAAGAGCAGGCGGCTTCTCTTTATCGAGGCCATGGATCTCAATTGAAATAAGATCGTTACTGTCAGAGGGTCTGCGTCCTCCACGAGCCTTGAAAGCCGTGATTAACTGTGCGACCGTATCTGCGATCCCACCAAGTATCTACCATGCCGTCCAACGTCAGTCGATCATATGCCAATGACAGATGATTCGCTCGAAGGGACTCTTACCGCATTGGTAACCATGGTGGTTAAGACTAAAGACGACACAAAGTCAGTCAGCTCCTGAAGGCGCTTAGCAAGGGAGCGTGAGAGCCTTACTTGGTTTCTCGGCATAGTAAGAGTTGAACTTAGCGGCAAGTCGCATTGCAGCCGCCATTTCGATGAGAAAGATTATGGCGTGAAGCAATGGCTATAATAGAGAAGGATGGAAGGAGTGAAGTTAGTGATGAGTTCTATCATAGAAAAAGTTTACTTGATAAAGGTTGCTTGTTTTAGGAAAAATGTAGAACCCCCTTGGGTGAGATAGGATGGAATCGAGACCAAGAGTTCACATACCAGACGGCCGTAGATGTACCTCCGATTGAGTCCATCGAGTATTCTTCGACGACTAGTGGAGAACATGACGAAGGGCGATGATAGACAGAAGTGATTGGCAAGATGGAAGGGGATCGAAGGCGAACGGCTTGGAAATCCCGGTTGGCGGGCTCGGGGCGAGTATGACGCAAAGGACTGCCAGAAAGCGCGCACAGGCGAAACAAGGGCGAGCAGGCGAATAAGCAAGCCCCCCGACGACTCCTGGACCCGGTGTCGGTGATCGTCTCGTTGGGTGTCGATGAGACGGCGTACTGTGTACAAAAGTAAAGCAGGAGGTTAGGTTTGGGTTTAGGTCGACCAGCGATTCAGGCCCCTGTTAAATAGAATAAGAGGAACGGTACTCTGAGGCAGCGAAGATGCAAGATCGAGGTCATGTCATCTTGCCGGGGATTCGAACTTCTCCCCGCCCCTTGAACCAATCCGCTCGCGTGATCACCCGCCCATCTCCGCCCGCCCGCCGCTTTTGAGGCGGAGGGTCTTGCATTGCCGCCTTTACATCTTAAGCCCGATCTTAAAGCTAACAACAACTACCACTACTGTCTGGGGAGACTCAACTTTCATCACATAGATTAAATGCTGTATTGATAGGATATACATGCAACTGATAATGAGACTTGACAAATCTTCGTTCCTTCTCACCACCCGCTACTCATGCTATCAATCCTTTAAATCGTGAAGATAGCAAAGTCCATGAACATGCATCGTAACTAGCCAGCATTCAAGCTATCTATCATAAAAGTAACCCACATCTCCTCTCAACTGACCACCTCAATCGGTCGACCTTTCCTTTCAAAGGAATGGATGTCCGGGAGATCTTTAATATCAATCGTCTCGTTCGTATTTACATCCACCAGACGTACAGCTTCCAGACGAAGTGCCCCCACCGCCAATGGAAGCAATTTCAGTTCCGTAGAAAAACAGGTGCCAGGCAAAAGGGGACTATTATATGATCAGCTGTGGCAAAGGAAAAGGGAAGAGTGAAGGGGCTACCCACCCAGCCCGAACATCGGTACTTAGAGAAACGAGTTCTGCTTCCTGGCCAACTACACTCTTCTGGAGTGCATGGACAATGTTATCATCGGTTACAGCTTCTGCGACCTGAGCATCTTTTCGGCTCGTCGCAGATGAAGAAGAGGGTCGCACGGTATGTCCCCGTGGGTCCAGCTTCTTCCGGCGAGGGATTGCAATTATTGAGAATTTGCGGGAACCGGAAGATCGGTTCACGATGAAGATACTCCAAGCAAAGGGTTTTCCTACTTCGACATGTGGAGGGCCACTGAACGAAACGGATACACCAAGGCCTGCTGTTGAGTATGCCCGCTCTCTCAGAGAGCTTCGATTAGGTGTAGCGGTCCCCGCTGCGGCGTTGCTTTGGTTAGGTGTCATTGGAAGACTCGCGGGGCGGTTGTTTCGTTGTAGAGCCTGGCTAGGTCCACCAAAAGTTGGGTTGAGGACCATGGAGAAATCAACGTTGGTTCTCCATTGCATCAATATCCGCGGGTTACAATTGTCCGACAGGTGGATTATTGCTTCTAGCGAGATATCCAGCACACTGACCATCACAGTTGTCGATGGATTTGGGTCCGGCGCATAGTCGGGCGTTAACTTGTATACAAGGGTGATATCATCTCGCGGCTGGCAACGGATGGGCGGCAGCAGTCCTGGTGCATCTGTAAGGGTTTCTATCGTCCCATCCGACATGCTAAGCTCTGCCTTGTCAAATGTGACATCGCAATTAAGGAATGGTGTCACCTCAAAATCGAGGCTTGCAACAGTGGTAGGCCGTCCACTATAGGCATTCAGCCGAGAATAACGTATCCTTGCACTGGCAGCAGGCACTATGCGTATGGGGTGGCCGGAATGTTGCTGGACATTATATATGGGGTCTTCACTGTATTTCGCCGGTACAACTCGCAGAAGCCTAGATGCGGGGAGGAATGGATCTTTCTGATCCAAGGACTTATCACTCGACAGCGGCTGTAGAATGTTTGTTGACGCGGGGATCAGGGGCGGGAGGTAGTCGTCTCCCCGAGACTCTTGCTGTCGGGTTTCAGCTGGGTTGAGGCTAGCAGAGGCGATGAAGAGGAGGGAAGGGTGTTGAATGCGTATTCGAGGGCGCTCTGAGGTTTATCAGCACGACAGGATGCCGGAACAAGGACGGAGTCCTTACTCAAGAATGCCTTGACACTCCAGATCACATATACGTGGTTGCCCCCACCTGTGTCTCCCTCAAACTCATTCACCACCACCAATGGCTCCTGTGAATCTACAACCCCTGAAAATATAAGGTCCCGAGTCGGGGTCGGGTTCTCCGCGACTGTCTCGGCGGGATCAATGGCAAAGGCATCGAGTCGGACTTCGAGGTGCGGAAGATACTGTTTCAGGCTAGGTGGAGAGCAATTGGATAGTCGTAAGACAACGCGAACGGTGCAGAACTCATCTGTATCACGCTACATATGAGTAAGAGATAGAGCTCGATCAGGCCAGCAGGTCGTAGCGTACCGAAGAACAGGAGAGAACGCTGCGGTATGAGCGACAACACAGAAGTGAGGTCCTCTGCGCCTTTTTCTAAAGCAGACGTCAGAGCCGCCTCTAGGTCGGCATCTGAAGCATGCGGGACAACTGTATCTAGAACAGCATGTCGGAGGAATTCCCCGGGGATGTCGAGACTCGGCATGGCGAGAGCAACAGCCGCATGCTCTTCTTCTCGTAATGAAATAAAAAGATAGCACGCGCACAGGCAACCGACACCAGGGAGATCAAAAGAAGGCAACAGACGGGAATCCCCTCGATGCGCATTTAATTTAAGAGCAGCCAGGGACCCAGGCGCGCCGGGTGGAGGTGTTCGATACTCCGGCCGCTGCAAACACGGCAAACAGTCTTAGCGCAGGAACCCCGGCGAGCTTCTTCGAACGCTGCTTTTTCCGACCTTCTCTCATCGTCGCAACAGCAGTATCTGTCCCCGGCAGCTTCTGCAACTCCGATATGAATCCCATGAACGGTCCGGCTGGCGCGCCCTCCATGTGGCAGGAGGCGCGTAACTCTGATGGTCGAGTTTACTACTACAATGTACAGACGAAGGCGACGCAATGGGCGAAGCCCATCGAGCTGATGACGCCTGTAGAGGTATGTGTCCTCAAGCTTCTTTTTCTTCATGACATTGCCATATATTATATGTCCTGGAATGCTAATTCTCTGTTAATCTCCTATAGCGTGCCTTGGCAAACCAGCCGTGGAAGGAATATACTGCTGAAGGTGGTCGGAAATACTGGTACAACACCGAAACCAAGCAAAGCACGTGGGAGATGCCAGATGTTTACAAAACTGCTCTGGCACAGGCTCCAGCGCCTCAGGCTCCTCCAGTGGCGTAAGTCTACAGCCAAATCTTCCTCTCAATGCGCTCATGATACTGACGTGACTATGCATAGGGCTCCGACTTTCGTTGCAGGTGGTGTTAGCTCCTTTTCTTCCTACCCACAACAGCGTGACCGCGACGACTATGATCGAGGCTATGGCGACCGACGTGGAGGATATGGTTCGATGGATACCAATGGCATCGCCGCGGCCCCTATCCTAGGTACACAGCAAGCCGAACCGGAATACGGCTCTCTCGAAGAGGCAGAGAGCGCATTCATGAAAATGCTGAAGCGCCACAACGTGCAACCCGACTGGAGCTGGGAACAGACCATGCGTGAAACCATCAAGGATCCTCAGTATCGTGCCCTCAAAGACCCCAGAGACCGCAAGGCAGCATTTGAAAAATATGCGGTCGAGGTTCGCATGCAGGAAAAGGATCGGGCGAAAGAAAGATTCGCTAAGCTCAGAGCAGATTTTAATACCATGCTGAAGCGCCATCCTGAGATTAAACATTACAGTCGCTGGAAGACCATCCGACCGATCATCGAGGGCGAAACCATCTTTAGATCTACAGATGATGAAAACGAGAGGCGCCAGCTCTTCGAGGAATACATTGTTGAGCTCAAGAAGGAGCACATCGAGGAGGAAGCTGTTAAGCGCAAAGCTGCTATGGATGAGCTGGTGACTATTTTGAAGTCCCTGAACTTGGAACCATACACACGCTGGTCTGAAGCACAGGCGATTATTCAGTCAAATGACAAAGTCCAAAGCGATGATAAATTCAGAACCCTGAGCAAATCCGATATTTTGACTGCATTCGAGAACCACATCAAGTCCCTTGAGCGGGCCTTCAATGATGCGCGTCAGCAGCAAAAGGCTGCAAAGGCGAGAAAAGAGCGTCATGCCCGCGAGCAGTTTATCGAGCTTCTGAAAGAGCTGAGATCTCAGGGTAAGATCAAGGCCGGAAGCAAGTGGATGAACATCTACCCCTTGATCCACGAGGATCCTCGGTACGTTGGTATCCTGGGTAACTCCGGATCTTCTCCCCTGGATCTATTTTGGGACATGGTTGAAGAAGAAGAACGCTCGCTGCGTGGCCCGCGTAACGATGTCTTGGATGTACTTGATGTAAGTGTGATTAAGCCTGGTATTCTGTTCATCTGTCACTAACTCGTACTCAGGACAAACGCTTCGAGGTTACACCAAAGACCACTCTTGAAGAGTTCAACGCTGCTGTATCTGGTGATCGCCGCACGGCCAATATTGATCCCGAGATACTTGAACTGATTTTCCAGCGTATCCAGGAGAAGGCTGTCCGACGAAGCGAGGAAGAGAAGCACGCTGCAGACCGTCATCAGCGCCGTGCTATCGATTCATTGCGTTCCCGGATCAAACGTCTCGATCCCCCTGTCCGTGCAACTGATACTTGCGAACAGGTGCGGCCAAGAATCGAAAGATTCGATGAGTACAAGTCTCTGGAGACCGATGAGCTCCGACAGGCCGCCTTTGACAAGGTTATTCGCCGCCTGAAGGAGAAGGAGGAGGACGCGGAACGAGACCGCGAGACCCGCGACAGGGATCGCGGAAGTCGCCGTGATCACCACGACCGTGATCGTGATCATCGCAGCGGGCCATCCTATAGAGGCGAAAGAAGGGGAACATCTAGCCGTCTTAGCCGAACCCCAGAACCAGATGCCTACGAGGCAGATCGCCGTAAAGCCCAAGCAGACCGTGAACGCTCCTACCGGAAGGCCAGCGGTCTATCACCCGTCCGAGAGCGACGGGAAGAGCGTGATCGAGACAGGGAACGTTACCGTGAGCGTGAGCGGGATAGGGACCGCGATCGCGACTGGGACCGTGATCGCAGCGCACGTCCTCTTAGCCACTACGAACGCGAGCGTCGCGAGCGCGAGGAAGAGCGCGAACGCCTCTATCGCACACGCGGTGATCCCCGCGGAGGTCGGGATGAGCTGGATTATGGTGCCGATACCAAGAGCACCACAAGCAATGATC